GCTAAGGGGTAAAGGGACACATTTATATGGTGACTGACAAATGATAATGTAGAACTGAAATTTCACAATGTTACAAACTATTATGACCTCAATTAAAAAAAATCTCATGAAGGATATGAAACAAAATGTGAGCAAATAAAAAATATGACCTTGTGTGGGAAGACAACATAATTAAAATGTCAATTCTCTCCAAATTAAATTATAAGTATAGTGAAATTCTATTAACCCAAGGTTTTTAGAAATTGGCTAAAATAAAGATCATATGCAAGAATAAATACCTGAGAATAGTCAAGAAAAGTATGAAAAGGAAGAATAATGGGAAGGGGGCTTCTCTTACCAGATATCAGAATATACTGTAAAACTACAATATCAATATAATTTTAGCACCGGAATCAACAAATAGATAAGTGTATCAGTTAGATCAAATAGAAAATCCAGAAATATATATCAGTATACGTGAGAATTTAATAAATGACAAAGATATTTTAATTCATTGGAGAATTTAATGAATGCCTTGGCATAATTATCTATCCATCAGGAACAAAGTAAATCTCTCTCTCTTCTAAAACAGATTTTGTTTTTTAGAGCACTTTTAGGTTTGCAGCAAAATTGAGCATTAGGTACAGAGGTATCCTATATCCCCTCTGCCCTCACACACACATAGCGGCCCCCATGATCAACATCCCCCACCAGAGTGGTACACTTGTCACAGTAGATGAACCTATATTGACACATCATTAGTATTCAAAGTTCACAGTTTATATTAGGATTCATTCTTGGGTTTTACATTCTATGGGTTTGGACAAATGTATAATGACATGTATCCACCACTATAGTATCATACAGGGTATTTTCACTGCCCTAAAAATCCTCTGCACTCTGCCTATTATTCCTTTCTCCCCACTAAACCCTGACAACCACTAATCTTTTTACTGTCTGCATAGTTTTGCCTTTTCCAGAATGTCACATAATTGGAATCGTACAGTACATAGCCTTTTCAGATGGCTTCTTT